TGGAACCCCCCATGATGTTGCAGTGTCTGACAAGTTGTGCAAGAAAGGTATAAAATACCGACAATATGAAAGTTAAGACACATGTGCAACATCTGGATATCTTTATTGTAGACGTTTCGCCATCCAGTGGCTTTATCAATACAGATTCTAGGACATAATAGGAAGACAGTAGAACTATATACAAAAGATGAGGTAATCAGTCCCTCGGCCTTGGAGTTAGTGTTCACAGCATCGTGGTGGAGGAGAATCTGGAGCAAAGACAAGAAGACTGGCGGTTATATAGGCGTCAGTGGATAGGGACGGGCAGCAGACGAGGGCAAAGTCACTGGTAGGCGGGATTCCCGCCTACCAGTATTTTATACCTTTCTTGCACAACTTGTCAGACACTGCAACATCATGGAATCTTGGTTCAGAGGACATCTACAAGACCTTCTTCACAGCTGCTGCAACTAACCCATCTCTTTGGGAAGGACCTACTTCCACTGGGGAATCCCGCCTACCAGTGACTTTGCCCTCGTCTGCTGCCCGTCCCTATCCACTGACGCCTATATAACCGCCAGTCTTCTTGTCTTTGCTCCAGATTCTCCTCCACCACGATGCTGTGAACACTAACTCCAAGGCCGAGGGACTGATTACCTCATCTTTTGTATATAGTTCTACTGTCTTCCTATTATGTCCTAGAATCTGTATTGATAAAGCCACTGGATGGCGAAACGTCTACAATAAAGATATCCAGATGTTGCACATGTGTCTTAACTTTCAACTTTAACTTCATTAACTACGTTAGTAAATATACAGAATTGCAGCTCCACAGCCAAGGCTTGCTGAACACTGTTCCGCCCATATACCACACCAGGTAGACAAGTCTGGAAACTGGTTCCTGGAGTTCAACCCCACCAAGTGCAAAATCATGAAGATTGGAGAAGGGCAAAAAGACCGCAGACGGAGTACAGTCTAAGGGGCCAGAGACTATAAACCTCACTCAAGGAAAGGGATCTTGGGGTGAGTATAACACCAGGCACATCTCCTGAAGCACACATCAACCAAATAACTGCTGCAGCATATGGGCTCCTGGCAAAACTAAAACTAGCATTCCTATATCTCAGTAAGGAATCGTTCAGGACCCTGTACACCGTGTATGTCAAGCCAATATTGGAGTATGCGGCACCAGTTTGGAACCCACACTTAACCAAGCACGTAAGGAAATTAGAGAAAGTGCAAAGATTTGCAACAAAACTAGTTTACTCCGGAGCTAAGGAGCATGTCCTACAAAGAGAGGTTAAGGGAAATCGACCTGACGACATTGGAGGACAGGAGAGATAGGGGGGATATGACAACGACATATAAAATACTGAGAGGAATTGACAAATTGGGCAGAGACAGGATGTTCCAGAGATGGGACAAGGGGTCACAATTGGAAGTTGAAGACTCAAATGAATAACAGGGATGTTATGAAGTATTTCTTCCGTCACAGAGTTGTCAAGAAGTGGAATAGTCTGGGAAGTGATGTAGTGGAGTCAGGATTCATACATAGCTTTAAGAAGAGGTATGATAAAGCTCATGGAGCAAGAAAGGTGATCTAGTAGCGACCAGTGAAGAGGCGGGGCCAGGAGCCGTGACTCGACCCCTGCAACTACAACTAGATGAGTACAGTGAGGTAACGTGATTTCTGTGTTATAAGGTAGGTTGGGCTTTGCCTGGTTGAGTATCATGTATACCAGTATTTTCGAAATTTTGTAACTTCCTGTCCTACGGTGCCGGTGACAGCGATTAGCGAGGCTTCTAGACATCATCCTAGTGTTTGCTCAAGTGTTTTTTAAAAACAATTTGTAAGTATCAGTTACCAAAGTTTATAGCAGCACACTTAATATCAGTTTCTCACGACCTTTGAGAAATTTCAGCCAAAAAGATTCATCATCGCTTCTTTCGGATTGCATATTCTCTTGCTGCAGCAATTCAATTTTTGTCCAACATTCAGTGCCACTCGGCTCCACTTTCTTGCTATATCTATATGTTGCAAAAAATAATTAATGTCTTGCATGTGGCATTCGGTAGGTATGTCATATGTCTTCAAATTAAACCATATCTCGGTTATTACAGTTAAACTCCTCACAAAACCGTTAATTAACTACAGTGGCTCTTGATAGCCCTTCGTTTGACAGTCCTGTCCTTGCTAGCAACGCCCCAGTTTTCAGGAGTGACTCTCTAGTTTCTTTAACAATTGCTGTAGTCTGTTATTATATGTAATTCCTAATTACTTGTCTTCCTGACCTCATTCATTTCAGTTATACTGTGGGGATCTCTATATACAAATAACTAGAGTTACCATCCCCTTTCTTGTATCAATCCTGATTACTTTCCTGTTCTTTTCATGCTTTTCTCATGGTCGAGGTACACTCGCTGGTATTTTTGGGAGTCATTTAACAGTGGTTTCTGCTGCAGGATGTTGTTCCATACCATTTTTGTCTTGAATGACAATTTGAGTGGGTAATGTTTTTTTTTTACCCCCTCGAATGCTTTCTAAGTCTCTGAAAATTTGTCAGCTGAGTCATGTCCTTCTCTCCTGTTATTGCAATGATACTCTCAATCTCTTTTACCTCTCCCTGTCTTCTTTTGTCATATGTTCTCCCTTCTGCCCCATGAAACCTATGAATTATTACCCACCTCTTTTTTTATACACAAAGTTTGGCAAGGTTACGTTAAGGATTCTTAGCTTTATTGACAAGCTGTTGAGAAATTAAGGATTCCTAACTTTATTGACAAGCTAAGAGCTGTTACATACATCAGTTCATTTAAAAGCCTTTTTATTGTTATGAGACATACAAGTAGGGAACAGGATGAAGGTGGAGCCATCTGTGGGCCAGCAATATCATTTGATCAACTGATTTTATATCGTTGATGTCATTATGCTGTAAGAACATGTTCCAGACTCGAGTCATCGTAGGAATAAATGAAATCAGATGAAGTGATGTTCTGGAAAAGGGTACAGCCAGAGTGAAGTTGCTGCTTTCTGCTCGTCTTGTGGTGTAAAAGCTTGCTTCTCGCTGTCCTCGGAGTGGAGCCATGTGTTATACTTTGACAATGTTGGTCTTGTACACAACAGTAAGGCCGCCCACATTCCTCCTGTGTTGAAGGCTCTGCTATAATACAGATCTATCCAGGATGGGTCCAGAAGAGGGGTGAGGCCCCTTGTTCTGTTCTCTTCTCTGTCAAGCAGTCGCAAATGAGATGGGGGACAGGCAGTCCAAGAAAGTGGAGGATACTCAAGGTGTGAGCTTGCAACCCCTATGATCGAGCAGATGTGAGATACATACGAAGTGCTGTAGGCTTCTTGGCCGCCTTGTTTGCAAGATTTGCAGTGTGGTTCTTCATGGTCAGTTTAGAGTCAAATTTCACCCAAAAGATATCAATTTCGTCCCTGGGTACCAACGCTCTCCCATTCTTACTTACTACTACTCCGGCATTACCATCATGGTGCCTAGACACCATCATCATTTATGTTTTCTCAGGTACAAATGTTACCTCACATCGGTTTCCCCAGGCTGATATAGTTCTTAACTGGTGATTGATGTAGCTTAGAGTAGCTGGCATTTTCTCTCTTTGATAAGTAAATGTCAGAGTACAGTCGTCTGCATATGCATAGGATTCTGGGATGAGATGAAGAAGGTCATTGAAGTAGACAATCCATAACAATGGTCCACGCACACTTCCCTGTGGAACATTTGCCCCAATAGGATGTCTTGCTGACTCTGTTCCACTGAGACTACAGTTATAGATCTACCTTGAAGGTAATCACTGAGGAAACATAATGTAGAGCCTGCAGTTCCCAGTGCTTGCAGTTTTGCTAAGAGGCCCTGGTGCCACACTCGGTCGAAAGGACCAGTAATGTCCAGTGCTACCAAACAGCTGACTTTGGATTCATCCAGTGACTGGTGCCACTTAGTGGAGAGGTTTAACAACAGATCAGCCTCAGAGTAACCTTTCCTGAAGCCATATTGACGGTCACAAAGTAGTGAGTGGTAGTCAAAATTCTTGAGATTATTGTCTCAAGGATCTTGTCAGTGATTGACAGTAGTGACACTGGTCTGTAGTTGCTGATTTCAGCTCTGCTCTTTTTGTGAACAGGGACTACATTTGCCTCTTTCCACAGAGAAGACCATTTACACTGTACTAGGCAGTACTGAAAGATGCGAGTTGGAGGTGCTGCTAACTGGTCTGCACATCTACTCAGCAGTCTTGGGCTCAACTCGCCTGGGCTCACAGCCTTTTCTTGGTCAAGTGATTTGAGAAGATGCACTTCCTCCTGCCTTATTGTCACCACTGACGGCTTTGACACAGTTCTTGCAGCTAGCCGAGAAAGGTCCCTTGCTGGATCAGGAACTTGCATTTTAGCAGTAGTGTTCGACAGAGGTCAACTTTCCCTTGGCTACTAGTAGAAGTGGTCCCAACCTGTCGATTTAGAGGTGGAATAAGTTCATGAATGATAACCTAATTATATTTTGCGTCAGTCTATACATTATATACAATAGGAAAGCAACGTTGGGAACGAGGGAACGCCTGAAGAAGCCAAAGAGGTACGAGAAATGACTTGGCGTGAAGCTGATTAGCATACAGAATATAAACGAACTCCAAAATTTGAATTTCAAAGTAAATACTGCAAAATGAATGGCGTTAAGAAGGAATTACGTAAGTGGCTAAGAGGCGACAACCATGAGTCAGAACGATATACCTTGAAACAGAGATTACATACATTTCCCGTACTTAGGTCCAGGCTGATATATGATAATTATTATCACCTTATATGGAAAAATGCTAAACCCGTAATATTTTGTACAAAGTGTGGTAGAGCAATAACAGATTTTCTGAGTCCTATTAAAAATAGATACCTAATTCATATAGATATTACAAATGAGCTTGTTATGTTGACAGGTGCTCTGCTGACGGCGGTTCTGGGCATCTTGGGCATCACGTCGCTACCTTCAGTGTCTGCCAGACTGACATGGCGAGAGTTCTCGGTGGCGCAGCGGTACCTGGGCTGGACCTCAGTCGTGTTGCTCACAGCCCACCTCACCTTTGCTGCCGCCAACCACTTACTTAATCCCCCGTCCTGTTACTTCTTACTGTCAGGAAGCCAGGTATGGCGTAACACAAAAATTATTATATTCCATTAAGACACTAACCTTTTCTTACAGCAGTTTCTTGTTTTTTTAATGTTTAATTCAAGAACTTTGTGCATTCCATAAGTCTAAGAAAAGCTTTAACATGTTCGTATGTTATTTTTCGAGGGATATAAAGAATCGTTATTATTGTCTAACCTTTACAATTATATATATAATATAATATATATATATATATATATATAATAATATATATATAATATATATATATATATATATATAATATGAATGGAAACACACACAACACAATAAATTAAAAAATAAATTCATTAATAAAATACCCACTACCCTGATTCACGCAGTGCAGACTGTGGTGGTGATTCATGCAGTGCAGACTGTGGTGGTGATTCATGCAGTGCAGACTGTGGTGGTGATTCATGCAGTGCAGACTGTGGTGGTGATTCATGCAGTGCAGACTGTGGTGGTGATTCATGCAGTGCAGACTGTGGTGGTGATTCATGCAGTGCAGACTGTGGTGATGATTCATGCAGTGCAGACTATGGTGATGATTCATGTAGTGCAGACTGTGGTGGTGATTCATGCAGTGCAGACTGTGGTGGTGATTCATGCAGTGCAGACTGTGGTGGTGATTCATGCAGTGCAGACTGTGGTGGTGATTCATGCAGTGCAGACTGTGGTGGTGATTCATGCAGTGCAGACTGTGGTGGTGATTCATGCAGTGCAGACTGTGGTGGTGATTCATGCAGTGCAGACTGTGGTGGTGATTCATGCAGTGCAGACTGTGGTGGTGATTCATGCAGTGCAGACTGTGGTGATGATTCATGCAGTGCAGACTATGGTGATGATTCATGTAGTGCAGACTGTGGTGGTGATTCATGCAGTGCAGACTGTGGTGGTGATTCATGCAGTGCAGACTGTGGTGGTGATTCATGCAGTGCAGACTGTGGTGGTGATTCATGCAGTGCAGACTGTGGTGGTGATTCATGCAGTGAAGATTGTGGCGGTGATTCATGAAGTGAAGACTGTTGTGGGGATTTATGCAGTGCAGACTGTGGTGGTGATTCATGCAGTGCAGACTGTGGTGGTGATTCATGCAGTGCAGACTGTGATGGTGATTCATGTAGTGCAGACTGTGGTGGTGATTCATGCAGTGAAGATTGTGGCGGTGATTCATGCAGTGCAGACTGTGGTGGTGATTCATGCAGTGAAGATTGTGGCGGTGAATCATGCAGTGAAGATTGTGGCGGTGATTCATGCAGTGCAGACTGTGGTGGTGATTCATGCAGTGAAGATTGTGGCGGTGATTCATGCAGTGCAGACTATGGTGGTGATTCATGTAGTGCAGACTGTGGTGATGATTCATGCAGTGAAGATTGTGGCGGTGATTCATGCAGTGCAGACTGTGGTGGTGATTCATGTAGTGCAGACTGTGGTGATGATTCATGCAGTGAAGATTGTGGCGGTGATTCATGCAGTGCAGACTGTGGTGGTGATTCATGCAGTGCAGACTGTGGTGGTGATTCATGCAGTGCAGACTGTGGTGGGGATTCATGCAGTGCAGACTGTGGTGGTGATTCATGCAGTGCAGACTGTGGTGGTGATTCATGCAGTGCAGACTGTGGTGGTGATTCATGCAGTGCAGACTGTGGTGATGATTCATCCAGTGAAGACTGTGGTGGTGATTCATGCAGTGCAGACTGTGGTGGTGATTCATGTAGTGCAGACTGTGGTGGTGATTCATGCAGTGCAGACTGTGGTGGTGATTCATGCAGTGCAGACTGTGGCGATGATTCATCCAGTGAAGACTGTGGTGGTGATTCATGCAGTGCAGACTGTGGTGGTGATTCATGCAGTGCAGACTGTGGTGGTGATTCATGCAGTGCAGACTGTGGCGATGATTCATGCAGTGCAGACTGTGGCGGTGATTCATGCATTGCAGACTGTGGTGGTGATTCATGCAGTGCAGACTGTGGTGGTGATTCATGCAGTGCAGACTGTGGTGATGATTCATCCAGTGAAGACTGTGGTGGTGATTCATGCAGTGCAGACTGTGGTGGTGATTCATGCAGTGCAGAGTGGTGGTGATTCATGCAGTGCAGACTGTGGCGATGATTCATGCAGTGCAGACTCTGGCGGTGATTCATGTATTGCAGACTGTGGTGGTGATTCATGCAGTGCAGACTGTGGTGGTGATTCATGCAGTGCAGACTGTGGCGGTGATTCATGCAGTGCAGATTGTGGTGGTGATTCATGTAGTGCAGACTGTGGTGGTGATTCATGCAGTGCAGACTGTGGTGATTCATGCAGTGCAGACTGTGGTGGTGATTCATGCAGTGCAGACTGTGCTGGTGATTCATGCAGTGCAGACTGTGGTGGTGATTCATGCAGTGCAGACTGTGCTGGTGATTCATGCAGTGCAGACTGTGGTGGTGATTCATGCAGTGCAGACTGTGGTGGTGATTCATGCAGTGCAGACTGTGGTGGTGATTCACGCAGTGCAGACTGTGGTGGTGATTCAAGTAGTGCAGACTGTGGTGGTGATTCATGCAGTGCAGACTGTGGTGGTGATTCATGCAGTGCAGACTGTGGTGGTGATTCATGCAGTGCAGAATGTGGTGGTGATTCATGCAGTGCAGACTGTGGTGGTGATTCATGCAGTGCAGACTGTGGTGGTGATTCATGTAGTGCAGACTGGAGTGGTGATTCATGCAGTGCAGACTGTGGCGAAGATTCATGCAGAGCAGACTGTGGTGGTGATTCATGCAGTGCAAACTGTGGTGGTGATTCATTCAGTGCAGACTGTAGTGGTGATTCATGCAGTGCAGACTGTGGAGGTGATTCATTCAGTGCAGACTGTGGTGGTGATTAATGCAGTGCAGACTATGGTGGTGATTCATGCAGTGCAGACTGTGGTGGTGATTCATGCAGTGCAGACTGTGGTGGTGATTCATGTAGTGCAGGTTGTGGTGGTGATTCATGCAGTGCAGACTGTAGTGGTGATTCATGCAGTGCAGACTGTGCTGGTGATTCATGCAGTGCAGACTGTGGTGGTGATTCATGCAGTGCAGACTGTGGTGGTGATTCATGCAGTGCAGACTGTGGTGGTGATTCATGCAGTGCAGACTGTGGTGGTGATTCATGCAGTGCAGACTGTGGTGGTGATTCAAGTAGTGCAGACTGTGGTGGTGATTCATGCAGTACAGACTGTGGTGGTGATTCATGCAGTGCAGAATGTGGTGGTGATTCATGCAGTGCAGACTGTGGTGGTGATTCATGCAGTGCAGACTGTGGTGGTGATTCATGTAGTGCAGACTGGGGTGGTGATTCATGCAGTGCAGACTGTGGTGAAGATTCATGCAGAGCAGACTGTGGTGGTGATTCATGCAGTGCAGACTGTGGTGGTGATTCATGTAGTGCAGACTGTGGGGGTGATTCATGTAGTTAAGATTGTGGTGGTGATTCATGTAGTGCAGGTTGTGGTGGTGATTCATGTAGTGCAGACTGTGGTGGTGATTCATGCAGTGCAGACTGTGGTGGTGATTTATGCAGTGCAGACTGTGGTGGTGATTCATGCAGTGCAGACTGTGGGGGTGATTCATTCAGTGCAGACTCTGGTGGTGATTCATGCATTGCAGACTGTGGTGGTGATTCATGCAGTGCAGACTGTGGTGAAGATTCATGTAGTGCAGACTGTGGTGGTGATTCATGTGCAGACTGTGGTGGTGATTCATGTAGTGCAGACTGTGGTGGAGATTCATGTAGTGCAGACTGTGGTGGTGATTCATGTAGTGCAGACTGTGGTGGTGATTCATGTAGTGCAGACTGTGGTGGTGATTCATGTAGTGCAGGTTGTGGTGGTGATTCATGTAGTGCAGACTGTGGTGGTGATTCATGCAGTGCAGACTGTGGTGGTGATTCATGCAGTGCAGACTGTGGTGGTGATTCATGCAGTGCAGACTGTGGGGGTGATTCATGTAGTTCAGACTGTGGTGGTGATTCATGTAGTGCAGGTTGTGGTGGTGATTCATGTAGTGCAGACTGTGGTGGTGATTCATGCAGTGCAGACTGTGGGGGTGATTCATGTAGTTCAGACTGTGGTGGTGATTCATGTAGTGCAGGTTGTGGTGGTGATTCATGTAGTGCAGACTGTGGTGGTGATTCATGCAGTGCAGACTGTGGTGGTGATTCATGCAGTGCAGACTGTGGTGGTGATTCATGCAGTGCAGACTGTGGGGGTGATTCATTCAGTGCAGACTCTGGTGGTGATTCATGCAGTGCAGACTGTGGTGGTGATTCATGCAGTGCAGACTGTGGTGGTGATTCATGCAGTGCAGACTGTGGTGGTGATTCATGCAGTGCAGACTGTGGTGGTGATTCATGCAGTGCAGACTGTGGGGGTGATTCATGTAGTTCAGACTGTGGTGGTGATTCATGTAGTGCAGGTTGTGGTGGTGATTCATGTAGTGCAGACTGTGGTGGTGATTCATGCAGTGCAGACTATGGTGGTGATTCATGCAGTGCAGACTGTGGTGGTGATTCATGCAGTGCAGACTGTGGGGGTGATTCATTCAGTGCAGACTCTGGTGATTCATGCAGTGCAGACTGTGGTGGTGATTCATGTGCAGACTGTGGTGGTGATTCATGCAGTGCAGACTGTGGTGGTGATTCATGCAGTGCAGACTGTGGGGGTGATTCATTCAGTGCAGACTCTGGTGGTGATTCATGCAGTGCAGACTGTGGTGGTGATTCATGTGCAGACTGTGGTGGTGATTCATGCAGTGCAGACTGTGGTGGTGATTCATGCAGTGCAGACTGTGGTGGTGATTCAAGTAGTGCAGACTGTGGTGGTGATTCATGCAGTGCAGACTGTGGTGGTGATTCATGCAGTGCAGACTGTGGTGGTGATTCATGCAGTGCAGAATGTGGTGGTGATTCATGCAGTGCAGACTGTGGTGGTGATTCATGCAGTGCAGACTGTGGTGGTGATTCATGTAGTG